GGTCATTATAGTGAGGGTGTGGAGGGGGTGGGGGAGGAAACATTAAAGAACTAGAGGAAAGTTGTATGTTTCATCAGTGCTATACTGCACCCTGAATGGCTTCATCTCCTCCCTGTGACCCTGCTGTAAGGGGATGTCCAATAGCCTACAGATGTGTTTGGGACTCCACTCCATTACTCCCCCTCATTCACAATGATATGATTTTTTTGTTCTGGGTCTTTGATGCCTGATACCTGATCCTATTGACACCTCATGATTACACAGGCTGGTGTGCTTCTTCCATGTGGCCTTTGTTGCTTTTCAGCTAAATGGCCACTTGTTTATCTTCAAGACTTTAAGTCCCCAGATGCTTTTGATAGCTGGGCACCATCAACTTTCCTCACCACATTGGCTTATGCACCGCTTTATCTTCAGTGATTGGGTTGGGAAGGTGAGCGTCATGCAATGCCACGTTAATAGAACAAAGTGTTCTTGTGTTGAGGGAGTACTTGAGCAGAGGCCCAATGTCCATCTGCTCAAGACTGTAAATTTTTTATGGGAGTAGGAAGCCTCATCTTTTCCCTTATAGTACTACTACTTAAAAATTTCAGATTCATTCTTGATATGTGCTTTTTACCTATGTTACCCCACTAAATAAAATGCATAAATGCTGCCCAGTCTTTCTTCCTACTATCTTTAGAAGTTATGCCTTCTTTCCCCTCTTGCTCCAGTTCAGATTCTCATACCTGCACACATAAGGTATTGTAATCATCCTGTCCATTTTCCTTCTACAGGTCTCTTTCCACTTTAATACATCCACTATCTAATACATTTTTTTTAAATCGGCAACTTTTATCCATTATACCTCTAATAACATTTTTCTCTGTTTGCATGGATAATATATTTAAATTTTTTTGTATTAACATTTAAAATATTTTTCTCTTTCTCTCTGCAAAATGTGTCATTTCCTTACACATTTCCAATACCCTCAGCATGAGCCAAACTCGTTACTCACAGGAAATAGGAGTAGAGGTTGCTTACTTTACCTTCTTTTTTTAGAGAGTTCAATCCTTGGTCACACTTACATGGATTCACACATCTTTATTAATCAGCATGATTTTCATTAATTTTATTTTTCATAAGCAAATCTATGACTGAATGACATGTATTATTATTAACTTAATTTTACAGACTCTCAATTCCAAGCGTTAAGTCAAGGCTTCAAGCCATTCAGTCACGGCACTTGTAGTGAAATCAGAACAGATCCAAATTTTTTGGACTGTAGGGATACCATAATGATAACTTGATACCCGTAGGACATAGGTGATAGATTCTAGAAGGCAGAACAAATGATAACTGGCACAAGAAAAATTACAGGTCTCCATCCTAAATGGAAAACTTGGGAGAGGCATAATGAGTTATTTCATAACCTGATACAGAAGATTGGATTATTGTCAGGACTGTAGAGAGCAACACACATTCAAAGCCATGCATTCACTGCCATCTTTGGGCCAGGAAATAGCTACTGCTCTTTCTACCTCTGCCAGAAAAGAGATTTGGCTTCTATGCAACATGCACAATCTTTGTTTTATAAGAGGACATAAAATTTCTAACAGGTATTGGTGTATTTAACTCTTACATGTCTGACTTAGAGGAAGGCTTTGAATGAAATCATCGTTGTTCATTTATGGCCGAAAAAATGAAACAAAACCAAAATGGACTCAGAATTGTAAAATGTAGGTGTACCATAATAATATTGAGTTCTTAAGTCATCCATTGAACCACTATTTTCCATGGTCAAGTAGAGGTGCATCATTTTTACACTGTCGGACAAGTTTCTTGATGGCTAATTTTATTTTTCAGATCTGACAAAGTTCCTAAAGACATTACATATGACCTCATTGTGGGATGTGATGGAGCCTATTCAACGGTCAGAAGCCACCTCATGAAGACACCCCGTTTTGATTACAGTCAACAATACATTCCTCATGGGTACATGGAGTTGACTATACCACCCAAGAATGGAGATGTAAGTGATTTCTCCTTCTTATCTCTTTATCAGATGCTGCCCCCCTTCCTAAACCTGGGTACAAGCAGGATTTAGTACAATGTGGTTCAGTTTTGTGGTCGATCATAAATACTTGGCAAAAGAATAAATTATATGTATAATTATCTCTTTAATAATATCACTCTCACTCCCTTAACTTTGAATATGTTTTCTTGAGAAGGGAAGAATTACAACCACCCTCCTAGAAACACTCAAGGAGGATGAGGAGACTGTCATTTGTTTTGTCTTGGGAGAAAAAATCAGGATGGAAATAAATTTTCCAGTATACTGAGAATCAAAATGATTACAAACAAAATTAAATCTAATAAAAATTATATAAGTGAATTGCAAGTTGTTGCTAAAGCTAACAATATTTTAAAAAATCATTTTATTGGGGGCTCATACAACTCTTATCACAATCCATACATATTTCAATTATGTAAAGCACATCTGTGCATTTGTTGCCCTCATCATTCTCAAAATATTTGCTCTCCACTTAAGCCCCTGGCATCAGCTCCTCATTTTTCCCCTCCCTCTGCACTTCCCCCTCCCTCATGAACTCTTGATAATAAATTGTTATTTTATCATATCTTGCCCTGTCTGACATCTCCCTCCACCCACTTTTCTGTTCTCCGTTCCCAAGGGAAATGGTTATATGTAAATCCCTGAATCGGTTCTCCCTTTCTACCCCACCCTCCCTCCACCCTCCTCATATAGCCACTCTCAGCACTGGTCCTGAAGGGATCATCTGCCCTGGGTTCCCTGTGTTTCCAATTCCTATCTGTACCAGTGTACATCCTCTGGTCTACCAGATTTGTAAGGTAGAATTGGGATCATGATAGTGGGTGGGGAGGAAGCATTTAGGAACTAGAGGAAAGTTATATGTTTCATTGTT